CGTTCCCTCGCCCAGACTCGGGTCACCGGGGGTCCCCGCTGGAGCCAGGCCTAGAGTTGGGGCACATTGGCGAGCGCCTGGTGGCCGGGTTTTTACCCATGGAGCCTGGCCGTGCACAGCCCATAGAGGAGACGTGGGTCCCCCTTTCCATGAGCTCACCACTTGTAGGAGGGGTCAAAGGGGTCAGATGCATTGTGTGTCAGGTGGTAGCCAAAGGCAGGGACCTTGGCGGTCTGATCCTTGTACAGTTGACGATTGACTACATTTTAATTAAGATGACCAGTAAGACATGATAATTCCATATAAATATGAAATATCAATCTGACTGATCTTTCAATGTTTAACCAGAAGGTTATAGTTATTTTACTTACTCGGGGACCATTAACACACTTTGTATTAATTCAGACAAAGTCAAGTATATAGTATACAAAACTGAATTTATTTATTTTCCCTAAACTAATGATTATACATGACAAGATATGAATGAAATGGATATGAAGTGGATTAATGTGATGGATGAGATGTTGTCATAGAAGCTAGATGTCTTAGCAAAACCTTTCTCAAGTATCTGACAGAATTTGTGAAGTCTGGGTTGTAAAAGCATTTGGCTGTATGTTTGTTAAACTACAGATTTGTTGATAAAAACCATCCAACGCCAGTGTGCAGCCTACAATACCCTTTTGCATGTGTTGCTCCCGGCGGTCCGGAGGAAGGCAGCCTGAATGGTAAGTCACCGGACGTAGAGACCACAAGACTCAAAGATTAGAAGCTTCCTTTCAGAGTTCAGCTTCACCGGCCATGAGATGCAACCAGGGTCTGCAGGTTAGAGGTCTGAGGCGTGTAGTAACTTTTAAAAGAGCTGTTGTGTCTGTCATCACTCGCAGCGTCGCAGAGACTTTTGACTTGAGGTCAAAGGAGGAGATGGTTTCAAAATGCTTTTCCCCGATTTTGCCAAATTGGGAGTCAGCTGGAAACTGAATTAATCGGAAAGTAATTCCTGTTTTATTAAAATCACATTGCTTAAAAATTTGACAAATCAGAATTGAACACGTTTGAGGCCTTCCTTCAGATACAAAGATGGTTAACCTTTTGTGTGAATGAGTTGTTTTAAAACACTTATGTGAAGTGAATGTTAACATTAATAATTATCTTATTATAATGTGTGAGTATAGATATTGATTAAAGCAGAGATTTTTCAAACATTTGATTTAAACACGTTCATTTAACAAGTTTGATTATTTCAACTTGTCAGTTGTAAGGTCACGTAGGAACTTTGAGGTGAGGAATGCAGGAGTCTTGCATAAGACCTTGGGTGAGAATGTTGAGGCTTCTTGTTCGGTAACAAGAACTGGCAGAACTTTCTGGATTTGGAGGCCAGGCAGATGGTGGGTTTATGTCTGCAAATGAAAGGTTACTTTCTGGTTAATTTGTTGGTGAAAATTTGACCATTTGGTACGTTACATCATCAGCTACAAAAGCTAGCTGTTGGTACGTTGAATGTCACCTCTCTGATGGGGAAGGGGAGGTGACATTCCATCAACCCACCACAGAGTTTGTGGGTGAGGTCGAGAAGTTCAATTAAATTTAATTCAATTCAAAAATACTTTATTAATCCCAGAGGGAAAGTGATTGCTGTAGTAGCTCAGAATAATAATAATAATCAAGTCATCAAAGAGTTGTTGTATATTACAGTGGCTGTTGGCAGGAAGGATCTCCAGTCAGTGTTGCAGCCAAACTGAAGAAGCCTCTGACTGAAGACACTCTTCCGTTGTCGGACAGTCTTGTGAAGAGAATGCTCAGGGTTGTCCATCATTTTTTTGATTCTCTGGAGAATCCTTCTTTGCATCATCTCCTCCAGTGGTTCCACAGTCGTCCCCAGAACAGAACCAGCCTTTTTTATTAGGCTGTTGAGCCTTTTCAGGTCCCTGCTTCTGATGCTGCTACCCCAACAGACGATGGCTGAAGAGATTACACTCTCAACAACAGACTTGTAGAAGATCTGCAGCATCTTGCTACAGACATTGAAGGACCTAAGCGTCCTCAAGAAGTGCAGTCTGCTGTGTCCCTTCTTGTAAACAGCTTCGCTGTTCTTTCTCCAGTCTGTTGTCCAGGTGAACTCCAAGGTATTTGTATTCCTCAACCACCTCCACTTCTTCTCCCATGATGGAAACAGTGTTTGACTCCACCCTGTTTCTTCTGAAGTCTAAAATCATCTCCTTTGTTTTGTTGTTTTGTTCTGGCTAGATATAGTTGGACTCACCTCAACGCATGGCTCTGGCTCTGGAAACCGTTTCCTCAAGAGGGGTTGGACTTTCTACCACTCTGGAGTTGCACCGTCTGAGGGGTGCCAAGCAGGGGTGGGCATACTTGTTCCCCCAATCTTGGTGCCTGTACGTTGGGGTTTACCTCAGTGAACGAGAGGGTAACCTCCCTCCAACCTCGTGTGGGGGACGGGTCCTGACTGTGGTTAGTGCTTATGCCCAAACTGCAGTTCGATGATTGACTTTGTTGTCGATTCAACGATCTGTGGCCGCATGTCTTGGACACTCGGGTGAAGAGAGGGGCAGAGCTGTCAACTGACCACTATCTGGTGATAAGTTGGCTTCAATGGTAGGGGAGGAAGCCGATCAGACCTGGCAGGCCTAAACTTATAGTGGTTGGGGATGCCGTCAAGCTGAAGAAAGAGTCTTATTAGGTCTTTTTGGCCTGTGGGACTCCAGGGCAGCTGATAGGTGCCAGCAGTCCAAGCAGAATGCGGCTTGGCTGGTCGCGGAGGCAAAAACCCGTGGGAGTTCAGTGAGACCACGGAGCAAGACATCTATATGGCTTCGAGGAGATTCTGGTCCACCATCCGGCATCTCAGGAGGAGAACGCAGTGCAACTTCTATCTCTTCTACTGGTGTAAATAATAATTATTTTCAGTAAATAAATGACTTTATGCATGTATATAGTCATTTTAGAACAGATTTAGTCATAATTCACATCGAGTCACCGTTTTATTTTTTTTACTCGTTTGATCACCCGTAGTTAGTTGATTTTTTTTCAGCAACTTTTTTCATAGAGGTATTTTATTATTTTGTATGTTAGATTTGTTTTTGTAACTAATGAAAGAAATCAGGAAATCTTCTAGAAAGAGTAAACTTCCCTCAAGATTTGTTGAAGAGCAAGATGTGCACTACATAATTTTTCCATCACAAATGTAGTAAGTATGTCTGCACAAAACTTTTTCCAAGCAACACGCTTTCCAGTTGCTGTTGTCTAGAATTGGCTCCGGGTCAGGGATGAGGTCCTTCTCCAAGTGGACTAGTTTAAGTATCTTGGGGTCTTGTTCACAAGTGAGGGAAAACTGGCATGCGAGATCAATTGGATAGGATTGGTGCTGCATCTGCAGTGATGCGGGCGTTGTACAGGTCTGTTTTGGTTAAGAGAGAGCTGAGCCAGAAGGCAAAGCTCTCAATTTACTGGTTGATCTACATTCCTACCCTCACCTATGGTCATGAGCTTTGGGTAGTGACCGAAAGACGAGATCGCAGATACAAGCGGTCGAAATTAGTTTTCTCCGCAGGGTGGCTGGGCTCTCCCTTAGAGATAGGGTAAGAAGCTAGGTCATCCGGGAGGGGCTCGGAGTAGATCCACTGCTCCTCCACATAGAGAGCAGCCAGTTGAGGTGGCTCGGGTATCTGATTAGGATGCCTTCCTGGTGAGGTTTTCCAGGCACGTCCAACCGGGAGGAGGCCTAAAGGAAGACCCAGGACATGTTGGAGGGACTATGTCTCTCACCTGGCCAGGGAACACCTTGGGATTCCCCCGGAAGAGTTGGCCCAAGTGGCTGGGGAGGGGGAAGTCTGGGCCTCTTGACTTAGGCTGCTGCCAGATAAGTGGGTGGATGTTCCACTTAGATAGGTGGGTGGGTGGGATGCTGGTGGGAGGGAGGGATGGATGGATGGATGGATGGATGGAGGGATGGATGGATGGATGGATGGGAAAAATTATCTCGATAAAAGTCAGAAATTTCGATTAAGATACATTTTGATTTATTGCCCAGTCCTGTGAGCTTGTCAATCTTATTAGGCAGAGAACGGACATTTCCCATCATTCGGGATGACGAAGGGTGAATATGGTTTATAGCTCCTTTTCCTTTCATGGAGCTTAGGTCCTGCTCTTTGTTCGGATCTACAGTGGAGAAGAGTGCCAGTGTCTGCAGCTCCAACAGCTGATCTCTGGTGTAAACAACAGATTAACGGACATAGCCGAAGGAATTTCCCAGTGTGTTCCACACATGTTAAAAAAACAGTAAAAAAAAATTTCACACAAACAACACAAAAGTAATCCTGTGGATTATGCGGTTGAGGGAAAATATACCCAAGTTAAGGGCATTAAAAACACTCAACACAAGACAAGAATAAAAAAGGGAGTAAAGAAGCAAGAGCTGCTGTACCTGGCTGTCGCTTGTGCAGTATTTAGCTGTTACCATTCACTTACATTGTTTATTCTGAACTAAAGCAAACAAAATACTCCCAGATTAAGAGAATGGTTGAGCTGGTTATAAAATGCTTATCTAACTTCAGGAAAAATGGCAAAAAAAACTACATTTTACTTAGAATTGGAATTTCCCTTCAAACACTGGATTTTTTTTCCAAACTGAACAACATTCTCATAAATAATAAACCTCACAAGGGGTTTATATTGGAAATAATCTGGCTATGTTAAATCACAAAACAGGGTAAATGATAAGATACACTGTGATACTAAAAGCTACACAATATTTAAATTTTTTAGAATTGAATTTAATAGGAACATTTGGGCTAGATGCTTCCAAGACACAGCTAGCATTGTTCCACCACAATGAAGGCAGTAAAAACTGCTGCCACCTAGCTGTCAAAGGAGTCTGAAGTACACACAAATAAGTCAGTAAATGTTTGCATGTAAAATCACAATAAAATAAAATTGTTGCTTTTATATTTCAAATATCAATATTTTCTTACATCTCTAAAACTCACCATTCAATCATCAGGAGTCGATTCAAACAGTCTTCCCCACAAGCAAACATTCCTTTTGCGCGATCTTCTCTTGACAACACTGGACACTCACACTGCATCCTTTTGATGTCTCGATGAGATTTGCTCTTCTTTCTGCAATTTTGAATAAAACCTTTCAGAACTAAAGCCCATTTGTTTTAGTTAGTGTAAATTCTAGCTGAATGACTGACTTACCTTTCAGTTAGGTAGAGGTTCTCCTCAATCAAGTCAAAGTAGGGGGGCATTGTTTTAGTTTTGGACAACTCTTTCCATTTGTTTGTATCTTGAAAGTCCTGCAGAGACAGTGACGGCCGAAGACCATCAGCTTTAACCACTGTTTCCTTAGAAACAGCAGCATCTGCATGACGCTCCCTTTTGCCCAAAGGCCCAGCTTCTGCCTCATTGTCGGAGTCTGACTCGATTTCTGGACGTCTTTTCTTGGGAGGTCCTCTGCCTCTGTGGGGTCTCAAATTGCTTTCTTGAAGGGGGTCAGATACAGCAGGGCCCCTGCTGTTGCTGCTAATTTCATGAGCTTGTACAAAGCTCAATGATCCTGTAGGATGAAGCTCACAGCATTCAGCAGCTCTTTTATTAAGATTCAACGATGATTCATTTTTGCTGTAGTCCTCATAGTCATTAGTAAGTGAATCAGGGTGGATTTCAGTAAAAGGTTCCCGATCGTGTGGATGGAGGTAAGATTTTGTGCCACTTTGCTCTCTGGAAACAGCTCCTGTCAGGTTCGTGTTTGTTACCTGCAGCTCGTGGCTGCTGTCAGGCTGCTGGCACGTACTTGAAGGCTGTTCCGATTGAAAAAAAACCTGGACCTGGCTGAAATCATTCTTGTCATTTATACCATCAAACCCAGGAAAATGCTCATGTTGGTAATGCAAGTGTGTCTGGTTATTACCAACCTCATGCAGCCTGAGTCTATCCTCATACTGTCTGGAATTATCAGGCGAGTGGGTTGAATCGGTTTCACTGACATGACTGACCACAAAGAGCTGGGCACTTCTGGAGCCAGAGCCTTCTGAGTGACTGGTGCTGTCGATCATATTGCTTTGGGACTGACACAACGCACTGCTGTTTGGAGACGCACATACACCACTCCTGGATGTTGGTTGTGTTTTCTGTGAGCTAACCTGGTGAGTGTTGGGCTGGTTGGAAATGATAACTGGAGAGTGTGTAGACTCGTCCCTGAGATCTGATGCTTCTATCAGAAAAGAATGCTTTGGTATCGCCACCACAGAGTGAAACAGTTTTAAAGCCTTTTCGCAATCTGAATCATACGCAGAGTTGTCACTGTCATCACTGAGTAGCGCTGACCCATCCTGGGTGGCTGGTGTTATTTTACTCTTTCTGTTGCTGTGGGTGCTCTCTCTGTGTTTGTTTTCATCAGATCTGATATGGGTTTGCATCTCTGCAGCCAAGGTATTGTGTGAAAATTTTTCGTTTATTTGGAGAGGCTCATCTGAGTTTGATTGCTGAGAAGCAGGAAGTTCTGAGTAAATGTGGGTGCTTGCTTGTGAACGTTTACTTTGGTCTTCGTTTGTACAGATAAAGGACATGCGGTGTGAGCAGCCTTTCTGCTCAGAGGTCTCCATCTCATTTATTAGTCTGGAATGTGTCGCGTCTCCTGAATGAACAATTTCTTCACTGTAAGACTCTTGTTTGTTGTTGTTTTTAGGGAACTCTATTTTCCTAATGGATACCACCTTTTTCACTGCAGGCTTCATTTCTGCACAAGCAGATCTGTTTGAACCGTCACCATCACATATTTTTTGTCCAACAATATCCCACCGGGACTTTCTGGTGGTAGAGATGCTCTTTTTATCATCATCCACAGACAACTGATTCTCAGTTTCAAGACATGGCAACTCAGATGGGAATGGCACAGTTGTGTCAGACTGACTCATAGCAGTTATATTTGACTCTTCTGGTTTAGTGAGTTGGTGAACCTCCTGTGTGATGGGTAAATCTAAAAAATCCAGAGAAGGTTTGGGTGATTCTAAACAGGCTACATCTTTCTTGTCTTCGACACCTATTGACTTTTCATCACTTTTGTTAGAATTCAGAATGCCAGCATTTAAATAAACGTTCGGTTGATTATTTGAGACTAAATCAGACACCACATTGTGCAGATTTTCAGGACTGCTTCCATGCTTTAGACTATCACTTGATGTATGTTTATTTTCCAATTCAAGCCTTGGCCTTGCTTCACTTAAAAATCCTTGTAAACGTTTGTCAGTGGATAAGACCATCTCCTTAACATCACTGGGTTCATTCTCACCTTCATGTAATTCCGACTTTTCTTGTTCATCTTCAGAACACAATTCTGTGCCAAGTGCACCCAGTGGTGATTTCTCAGCACTGCGAGCCAAGTCAATAGATTGTGTAACATGTCTAGGAGATCTCACAGATGTTTTATGGGAGGTTGGCTTCTTTGAATTTGACCAACTGCTATTCCCCCGAGAGTCTCCACATTTCTTTAAAGAGTTTGCACATTTGTCAGATGCATGCAATTTTGCTTTATGATCTCCCTCCGAGTCACTGGAAGTGCATTTTTGGTGCTTGTTGTGTGTTTGAGAGTGGGAATGATTACTGGAAGCAGAAGAAATGATGCTGGTCTCGGATTTATGATGTCCACTAGATTTGCGGTTACTAGAGTCCAACTCAGGAAAGCACTTGTGTTGGGAATCTGAGTCTGAATAATGCTTTGAAGTCCTCTCAAACGTTGATGAATGCATTTTCTTGTTTAACTCAGAGGAGTGAGAAGAATCTTCAGACTTCATAGATTTCTCTGATTTTGAGTGGGAAGATGATTGTGACACTTTATGGGAGCTTGAGTAGTTGGACGACCGGTTGCACACATTTGTCCTTGTCCGCAATCTCCGGTGGTCTTCTTCAGAGTCAGAACTATACCAAGTTCTGTCAGTGCGGGAACGAGAACGTCTCCTCTTTCTGGAAGGAGAACCCTTGTGCAATCGCCGATCAAACTCATGATAATATGATCTTTCAGAGCGAGATCCTCTGTCACATCTGGATCTCTCTGATCTGGAGTGAGATGAACTTGTTCGAGACCCCCTGGATCTAGATCGTGATCTAGACCTGGACCTATGGCGATCCCTGTCTGTTCGAGACGAGCGTGAGGACATGTTTCTAGAATCTCGCTCCGATTTGGAATAACTAGAAGACCTTTCATGATTCTCCGAACGCTTAGAGGACTTCTTTTCTCTTTCCCCAACATGTGAATTAGAGGAGGAGCTTTTCTCTTTGATTCTATCAGTGTTTGTTCTGTTTTTTGAATCATCAGACTTGTGACTGGAAGACATGTGGGCTAAATCTACATAGGATTCTGAGCAAAGAGGAACACTACTGGACTGTGACCTGGTTTTCCTTTTGTTCACGTTATTTTCGAGATTAGTACTTCTGGAACTATCACCATCCTTTCCAGAGGAAATGGAGGACTTCTTTAGGCTGGGGACTTCCTTTATCTCAGAAATTTGAATATGAGCCCTTTCACTGGGGCTGATAACATTTTGTGGTTCGAGCCCTGGGAATTCAATGTAAATCTTAGCTGTTGATTTAGGCAAAATGTTCAGTTCAGAGGCATGAAGCTGTTCAGAGGTGTGAGGCTCTTCTGATCCAGAAGGTGCTGGTTTCTCCTCAGTCACAGACACACAAAGAATTTGCTTCTTAAAATGCATATTTGCTAAACTTTTTTTGAGTCTAGTTGAAGAAGAGATTGATGATTGAGAGTGTGTCTCTGGGTTAGTCTCTGACACCAAGTGTGTCTGCTTTTGCTTTATTCTCCCCATATTTTTCCCCTCTTTATCTGACGATAACTGTGACGAAGGAGAGTGAAGTTCAGTAACAGCTGTTTCAGGACTAGTGTGGATGAAGAACGAACTCTGAAGAGGCTTCTTTGTCTGCGAGAAGGTGAAGGACACTTTCTGACGGCTCTGATCTTCAAGGTTGACCCTCATTTTGGTCCCCTTTGTTAAGAGATGATTGGATAAAATAACTCTGGGTGACAAGCTCTTTATCAGAGCTGACTTGGACAATCCTTCCACTGTTACCTACATCAAAAAAGAAAAAACATGTTATCTCACTATGATTTTCCCAAACACACAGCATACCAAACTTTGTAGCATAGTAGGGATGTTCCGATCACGTTTTTTTGCACCCCAATCCGATTCAGTAATTTGATTTTAAGAATCCGATACTTTAGAAATGCATTTAAAAAAAGGAGAGTGACTGAGTTGTCCTTCAAGTTATTTTTAATCATTCATGCATTTCTTTCTTTCTGTATTGTTGTAATTTCTTTTGTTTATTTGCAATAAAACATCACTTGTCATTTACAATTTAAATGAATAAGAAACGTGTTAATATTGTTAATATTAAAGTGACGGTGTTTATTTTTTCTGGCAATAGAGGGCAGAAGATACAAAAATCGTTGCAAGCAAGTAGTATTTTTTGAGTTAGAGTGAGACCTCCAGCCTGGCCTGCCAGACTCGTCCTCGGTTTAATTATGCACAGAGAAAGAGTCTGGTAACTCACAGACAGAGAGGTATTTGAGGGGCGGGACTACGCAGCTCAAAAATAACCAAACAGAAAAAAGATGGAAATGCCGACTGTACCGTGCTACGCTGTAGTTTTTTTTAGCAGTAATAAAAAAAAGGCATCCAGCAACAGTGCAAACATCTTTTATTTTTTTTAAATAAAGGCTTTTAGCACTTCAACTTGTGGTATGTTTTTTTTTTTACTTTTTATTTATACACTTTTACATTAGAAACGCATTCCCCATCGTACTCAGCATTCATAATATTTTTAGTGTTAAGTTCTTCCCGAGTTCTTTCGTCTTCATAATGAGTTCTTTTCATTTTCCCTTGGTGGTTTTCTAGTGATCTTCCTTTGATTGTATTCTTCCACGTTTATTCATTTCACTCTTTGTCTTTTTCTTCTCAAGTTTCTATTCTTTCCCCGGCTAAACCCTCTGTCTTTCTATTTCTATCTTCTTGACTTTCTTACCCTTATTCAACTTTTCCTTTTGAGTACTTATAATGCGAAAAAGAATTATATAAATAATAAAACAAAATAAAATAAATAAAGGCCGGCCCATCTGCAGGTTTCTCCTTGCCATTTATTTTCTCATAACCATATGCTTATTATGTCTCCATTTAGCCCATTGTTTTTGCATTTGTTCCCCTTTCAGTCTTAGTCTGTAGGTCTCCATTTCCTGTATTTCTTCAGCTATTGTCCTCCATCCTTCTATTGTTGGGGTCTCCGGTCTGAGCCATTTCCTAGAGATTGCCTTCTTGGCTGCTATCATAAGTATCCTCATTAGGTATTGATCTCCCTTTGCCATTTCTTCCCGTATGGATCCTAGGTACATTAATTTAAATGTCTGTGGAATATATTATCCTAATATTATTTTGATGTTCTTGTATATTTGGTTCCAAAAAGGTTTTATTTTCTTGCATTCCCAGAATGGAATGGTTGGGGTTTATATTTTGTCACACCCTGTCCTGTCTCCCCTTAGGTTTTAGTCTGTCTCCGTTAATTGCTCCCACCTGCCTCTTGTTTCCCAATCACCCTAGCTCCCGCTCCTCGTGTATTTAAACCCCTTCTGTTCTTTGTTTCATGTCGAGTCATTGTTCCCATGTCCAGTGTGTTCATTATTAAAACCTTTAAATGTCCTACCTGTCTGCCTGTCTTCCTGTCCCGTGTTTGGATCCTCACCTGATCACCGCTCCGCTCACAGAATGACTTGACCCTCTGAAGGATCCAGCGGGGAGATTCTCCCATGGAAGTATCTGTTCCAGTTCCTCTTCGCCGACTATCGGCCGGCTTCTCCTTCTCCAGCTCCGCCACAGACGGCGTCCCCAACCTTCTGCCTCTGCGTTCCTCTCCACCCTCCCGGAGGCCGGTGGGAGAGTGGATGGGGAGTCGCTTCCTGATTCCTCCAGTTATGTAGGCACCCGCCTGGCTGTGTGCTCTCCCGGAGTTGGCCCACGGCGTGGGGAGAGATGCCGGGCTCCACCGCAGCCCTGTGTCCCAGGACGGAGCTGCGACCTCGCCACTGCCCCTGCTCGGCGCAGCTGTCTGGACACGTCCCTGGTCAAACCAGCGGTCCCGTCTCCGGCCGAATCGGCGCCTGCAGGTGGAGGAGCTGCGCCCGCAGCCCAGCTGACGGGGCTCGCCAGTCTCCGAGCTGAGTTGGTCCAGATTTGTCAGACCCTTGATCTCAATAAGCTCCAGCTGGACGATCTGCTCGCTGCTCCGGCTGGACGCAGCAGCTTGGACCCGCCCCCGGTCGGACCAGCTGTCCCGCCTCCAGTCCGATCGGCTCCTCCGTCATCTGCAGGAGGTGGAGCAACGCCCACAACCCAGCCGACTGAACTTGCCAGTCTCCGGGCTGAGCTGGTCCAGCTTCAACAGATCGCCAGTTCTAATCAGCTCCTACTGGACGCTCTGCGCTCCCTGTCTCCAGCACCACCCGTTCACTCAATGCCTGTTCCAGCGGGGGTCCCGGTGAACGCACCGCATCCGGTCCCGCCTGTCCAGACATCCCTTCCTGCAGCGACTTCACCTCCACTTCAGACGCCAACGGTGCGGGCCCAGAGGCAGAAGGTGCGGGCCCAGAAGCAGACGGTGCGGGCCCAGAAGCAGACGGTTCCCGCCCAGAAGCAGACGGTACCAGCCCAGAAGCAGACGGTACCAGCCCAGAAGCCGGCGGCTCAGAGACCGGCGGTCCAGAAGCTGGAGGACCAGAAGCAGATGGAAGTCGACACCTCTTCCAGTCCAAGGGTCGACGCCTCTTCCAGTCCAAGGGTCGACGCCTCCCCTAGTCCAAGGGTCGACGCCTCCAAGCCAAGGGTCGACGCCTCCAAGCCAAGGGTCGACGCCTCCAGTCCAAGGGCCGACGCCTCCAAGCCAAGGGCCGACGCCTCCAGTCCAAGGGCCGACGCCTCCAGTCCAAGGGTCGACGCCTCCAGTCCAAGGGTCGACGCCTCCAGTCCAAGGGTCGACGCCTCACCCTGTTCTGAAGTCGACGTCTCCTCTGAAGTCGACGTCTCCTCTAAAGTCGACGTCTCCTCTAAAGTCGACGTCTCATCTGAAGTCGTCTCCTCTGCAATCGACGTCTCGCCTGAAGTCATCTCGCCTGAAGTCGACGTCTCGTCTGAAGTCGACGTCTCGTCTTAAGTTGTCTTCTCTGAGGTCGACGTCTCGTCTTAAGTGGTCGTCTCTGAAGTCGTCTCCTCTGAAGTCGATGTGTCTGAAGTCGCATCGTCTGAAGTCGCCTTATCCACTCTAGAGGTCGACGCTCGCTCCACTCTAGAGGTCAATGCTCGCTCCACTCTAGAGGTCGACGCTCTCTCCACTCTAGAGGTCGACGCTCTCTCCACTCCAGAGGTCGACACTCCCTCTGGTCCGACGTCTCCAACATCTCCGGTTCCAATGGTGGTTCTGAAGGTCGCTCCGGTTCAGCTCATCCAAGGGACTCTGTCCCCGGCCCAGCCTGCAGAGACTGTGTCCCCGGCCCAGCCTGCAGAGCTCCTCATCTGCCACAGGCGCCGGCCTCCAAGGGCCCATCGCCTCCTCCTCTGCCGCAGGCGCCGGCCTCCAAGGACCCGTCGCCTCCTCATCTGCCGCAGGCGCCGGCCTCCAAGGGCCCGTCGCCTACTCATCTGCCGCAGGCGCAGGCCCCCGGACTCTGCTGATCCCTGCCGCATCTCCATCGGTCCCTCGGTTCCTCTAGGCCCTCCCTCCGGGCCCCCCTCCTCCCGCCCTGCTCCTTGTTCCTGTGGGCGTCTGGGATCCGCCCTTTTGGGGGGGGGACTGTCACACCCTGTCCTGTCTCCCCTTAGGTTTTAGTCTGTCTCCGTTAATTGCTCCCACCAGCCTCTTGTTTCCCAATCACCCTAGCTCCCGCGCCTCGTGTATTTAAACCCCTTCTGTTCTGTGTTTCATGTCGAGTCATTGGTCCCATGTCCAGTGTGTTCATGATTAAAACCTTTAAACGTCCTACCTGTCTGCCTGTCTTCCTGTCCCGCGTTTGGATCCTCACCTGATCACCGCTCCGCTCACCAGGCACGCTCGTGACATATTTCCACAATTCCTCCCAGCTCATTTGTTTCTGTATTAGTTTATTTGTAATTTTAGGTGTGATGAAGTTTCTTATTTGGTTCTGCCAGGCAAATTCCCTCCATTTTTGTGATTGTGTTGTCCTAGTTTGTGTTTCCCACATCTCATTCCATTCCCCTTCCAATATTTCTTCCTTAATTTCTTTTGCCCATTTTTCTTTGATATATTGCGTTGATTGGTTTTCTATAGTTATTAATGTTTTATATATTAAGGATAGTTTTCTTTTGGGTGCTGGTTTTGTATATGTTTGAATCATCATTGTTATTATTCGATTATTCCCTTGAATTTTATTTTGACTTCGGCTGGTATAGTAGTCTCTTAGTTGTGGATATCTGAACATATCCTTATTTTCCACTTCAAATTTTTCTGTTTAGCACCCCTTTTTTTCTGAATTGTTCCTATTGCTGTCTTTCCTGTCTCGTTCCATTTTTTGAATCTATTGTCCATCTTTCCTGGTTCAAAGTCCGAGTCCCAACCTATCCATTAATCTTATTTCTCTGTCTATTTTTAGTTTATGGCTTATCTTCCACCAGGTTTCCAAGCTAAACTTTGTTGTTGGGTCCAATTTTTCTAAATTTTTTGTCCAAAATTCATTTTTGGTATTTTCCCCTAGTAATGTTTGGATTGGTATTTCTTTTCCTTCTGTCTCTATCATTTTCCAGTAGTTTAAGTTTTGTGGGTCACACCAATCTATGAGTGGTCCAAATTGCGCTGCCTGGTACTACCAATTTATGTTTGGCACAGCCCTCCCTCCTTGTTCTTTTGCTAGATAAATCGGATGGGGTCTCGACACGATTAATCGATTAATCGGATTACATGGGGACATTTTTAAAAACTGCTAGGGAAATGTTATTTCTCTCCTTCCTTCACTTTATTAAACACAACATTATTAGAAAACAGTTCAAAAGCAGAAAAACAACATGCCATCACCTAAATTGTCTTATAAGGTGTATAGACAGAGACCCTAAGCTACACCTATCTGTGACCTAAAATGCTTGGTCCAAGTTAAACAGCTTAAGGGCAATTCTCATCTGTTTTGTTTGATCTCATCTGTAGACATTTATTATAACTGGGGATGTCAAACAACTAATTTTTAAACGTAATTAAACATAGGCTGTGAATTAATCAAAATTAATCACCATTTCCAAAAATGACTGTAAAAATACCAAATAAAACAAAAGTAAATGAATGCCATCCTCCTTGTGATGATGCCCTGGGCAACTGCCATAAAGTCACATCAAGAAATGCTGCTGATCATTCCAATGATCCCAAATAGACTCACATTAGGCCACATGAAAGCAACTGAACCCAAAAATATATTAACCAGTATATAACTGCACTCTCACACAACACGCCTGCAGCAACAGTTAGGACTCCTCCCTCCCTTTTAAAAGCGTTTTCACTTCTCAGGACATTGTGGTGCTAGTAGTCTGGCCCCGGCGTGATCAACCAGTTTCTGCGGGAATGTGACGGCGGAACCGGTTCGCAGCAGCACGAGTCCCCCCCTCCCCCGTTTATCTGATAGCGTCGCGCTTACGATTTTATAGACTGTTTTAACAAGCTTAGGGCATGTCTAGCCTGTGTAATAATCCGGGGCTTGGGTGAATCACTTGTGAAAAGTTTTTAACTTACCCGGACACAGAGCTCTCTCCTTCCTGGCTGATGATTCACATCATCACCGTAGTACTCCCGTGCCACGCTAAGTCTGACCTACAAACGTTGCAGGTAACGAATTTCTTCGCCTTATTTAACTGAAAATGCTCCCAAACTTTAGAAGTTTTTACTTTTTGGGTCTCGCTGCTTCTGCCGGCTAGTCCCTCGCGGTGATCTGACTTGCTTCCGGTCTGTGCGCAACGGAGGCCGGGGGGTGGGGGGGCGGGTCTGAAGAGTTGCGCAACACAACGAATCGATGACGCAATTCGTTGCCAACGCTTTTAGTAATCGATTTTCATCGAATTTATCGATTCGTTGTTGCAGTCCTAGTTCTGTGAATTAGATATTAAAATTGCCACCCCTCTTTTCCGGTTGTTAGGACATGTATTATAGTATGTTTTTTAAAACCCAAGTTTTTTTTAAGTTTTTTGTGTTCTTTCCGTGATACATCTATGGGTTTCTTGCAGAAAACTAATTTGTATTTTTTTCTTTTTTGATTTTATTTATTAATGTTGCTCTTTTCATTGGATTTCCCAGCCCATTTACATTTAATGATGTTATTTTAATTTCTTGGTTTTTATCGTGCGTCATTTTTATTATTTTTCTTTTCTCTTGATTTTCCCTTTCTCTTGATACATTCTCCCCTTTGTCCTTGCAGATGGCCTTCCTGGTCCTGAGATAAAGAAAATAAAGATAAAATTTCTGTTGTAATCTCCTCTTTATTTGCCTGGAGTTCGGTCTTCATTTCAGCATTTAGCGTTCGTATCTGAAGGCTAATGCTATCCAAACTAGCTTCTCGTGTTAGCTCCCCGGTAGCCTTCATGATGAGCATCTGCTTCGTATCCTTACTTGTGTTTTCTTGCTGCTTTTTGTTTTTCCCTTTAGTCATTGTTCCTTCGCTCATTGTTGCTTCTCCTTCTTTTCCTTATTTTTTCTTTACAGTTCAGGCGTTTTCTAGTTCGTTTTTCTGTTGGTTATACGGAGCTCCTTTCACTCGTGTCTACTTCACTTGCTCGCCATACCGGAAGTCCTTCAACTTGTGGTTTTAAAGACATTTAAGTCCTTTAGAACAGAGGAAAGAGTTGCAGCGAACTCTGCCGCTGTCTTCATTGTTTATGAGAATCTGAGCATTGCTGTGTATGACGTCTGCGGTGCTGTAGTTTTTTTTTTTGCTGTAGTCAAAAATGGCATCTGGCAACAGCGCAAACATCTTTCTTTAGAAGAAAGACTTTTAGCGCTTCTAATTGTTGTGGTTTTAAAGACGTGTCCATGTCATTTAGAACAAAGGAAAGAGACGCATCAAACTCCGCTTCAGTCGCCATGTTTATGACAAACTCAGCGTTACGGTGTGTGACATATGCATTCATCACGTTACACCACTCAGCGCTGATTGGCTTGGTTAGAATTCTCAGGGGATGGGGTTGTTTGAATAGGAGAGTTCCCAGATCCTTTCTCTGTGCAGAATTAAACAGAGGAGAAGTCTGCTATGACACCTCACCAATGGATGCCCATCATGGTCAAAAACCCTGGGAAGTTAAAACTTTAGTAAAATAACAAGCACATCAGACTCCCTTTCATCACTGGCAACAAGTGAAGAGGTAAATGAGTAAAGCGACAACATTTAAGAATGATGAAAGTTTTGTAACCGTTTGTTACAAATCAGTAAACGCATTTTGTACTCATGGGTACGGATAAAGCATTTTTGACGAATACGAGCATGACACGAGTAAACCTCGTAAATATCTGTAATCGTGCTGAAGGAAAATCCTCATTGGGTAACTGACTGTCTTCACGCTCTGTGATTGGCCAGTCACATAGAGCACCCGCCCCTCCCTACAAACAAAACTCTCTAGCCGGCCGAGAGCGCAGTCCGTCCGGCTCATCCACACACACACACACACACAGACAGTAACGGATCTCGCTGTGATTGCTTCACTGTTGCTCATGTTTCTTCAGTTTTCCCTAGGTTTTCTTCAGCTCGCCTCTTTTTCAGTTGAATATTTAAAGTAACTTTTTACGTAACTTACATGGTGCATTTGACAAGACAGAGCTGACGTGCTGCGTCAGTCACTCACTACCTCCGCTCCGGTCGGGGTTTTAAAATTTTTTTTTTAACTCCCTCTCTCTCTCTCTCTCTCTCTCTCTCTCTCACACACACACACACAATTCTTTAAATTGTGGTACTCACGGCGTTGTTGTCTGTGAAACCCATCGATTCCGCTTTCCTGAAAAATCACGTGATCGGAACATCCCTATTTAATAGCATTGATTTAATCAATGAACTCACCGAAGCACCAGTCCCTTCCTGTCTATGTTTAATCAAGAACATCATGGGAAGATAAAAGAGAGAAAAATATCATCAGTTCATGTAACACCATACACACCAATTATTAAAATGAACAAACAAAAGCAGAAAGATTCAACAAATCTAGATGCATGCAGCTAAACAAGTTCCTTGTGCAAATGACAGACCCAAACAATACATCTGTCACTAAATATAAAATAGTTTCACAAGTTATTAAAAATTTTATTATAATATTAGTGTGAGATGGGTTTTAATTCCTGTTTTAAAGCATGTGCTTTGCTCAACAGCTGAAATAATTTTACAAAATTTAAACATAAACTGGTTTAGCTTGGATGAAATGTTTAGCGCTCAGAGGAGTTTATGTGGAAACATAACATGCAAACTTTTTACAGGAAGTACAGAGAAAACATTTACCCCTCTCTTTAAACAAAAACATAGACAACCAAGATAATCTGGTATTCTACCTCTTTACAATGATATAATGGCTATAACCTTGAATGTAAGTTACCCCCAAATCAACTTTTTTGTTGCTAAACTGTATAAATGAGTGTCTGTAGTCTCTTTCATAAAACAAAGCTACCAGTTTACAGTAAACCCGAGGCAGCATCAGGGAGCTGTTAGTCATTTATAAGTGGTCACTGTGCCAGTAATGTGGTGTGATCATGTGCTTTTCACCAAAGATGGTGGTAAAATGGGATATGTGGGCAGTCTCTGTGCTGTAACAGGCTTGGACATATATGGGCCATTCCCATCTGTACCGGGTCGGCCCGGGCCGGGTAGCGTAGTTAGTTTACATATCTGGGTGGTCTGGTATTTTTCCGGGCCAACCAAGTCTCATTCTCAGCCCTCTTCTCGAGGGGGTCTGCTTCAGGCCGACCAGGGCCAACACACCCACTGCTGACAGCAAATTCACACCTTCCATTAGAGCAAGCCTCTGATTGGTGGGTAGAATCAGCCCACATGGGCTTAAGACAGGGATGTGTGGAATCAACCGGGCCAGGCTGGGGCTACCCGGCCCGGGCCGACCCGGTACAGATGGGAATGGCCCAATAGAGGGATGCAAAAGTTTGGGCAGCCTTGTGAATCTTCATGATTTACCTGTATAAATCATTGGTTGTTCCGATAAAAAAAATTCAGTTAAATGTATCATTTAGGAGACACACACAGTGTTAAACAATGTTTACAGGTTTTACAAGAAGTGTGCAATAACTGTTTAAACAAAATTAGGCAGGTGCATAAATTTGGGAACCATAAAAAAGAAATTCTCAATATTTAGTAGGAAGGAGGCTTCCTTTTGCAGCAATAACAGCCTCTAAACACTTCCTATAGCTTCCAATGAGCGTCTGGATTCTGGATGAAGGTATTTTGAAGCATTCTTCTTGACAAAACATCTCTAGTTCGTTCGGGTTTGATGACTTCCGAACATGGACATTTCCCAATAACTCACACCACAGATTTTCAATAATATTCAGGCTGGGGAGTGAGATCGCCATTCTAGAATGTTGTACTTGTTCCTCTGCAGGGATGCCTTAGAAGCATTTTGTTTTTGTATAATGTAGGGCTGCAGCTATCGAATATTTTTGTAATCGAGTACTCTATCGAAATTGAGTACTCTAATAAATTACTCTTTTGCATTTGTAAACCATTATATCAAATAGCATGTTATAAAATATGAAAGACCTCTTGAAATGAGAAAGCAATTGCCAGTTATTCTTCAAGTTTTATTCAAAATTAGTTTTCAAAACTTCAGCACTTCAACTTTACTTCACAGTAAACAAATGCCAGCGGCTGCGGCCCAAACAGAACCAGAACCGCTCACGGCGCATGGGCAAACATGGCTCGCCAGCTGTTTTCCTATTAACACACGTCCGTCCTAATTTCTACACTTTTTTTTCTCACACTAACAAGGATTGTCGAGAAATCATGTTTGCCGTGGTTATGTCAAATTATACTGATCACAAAACATTTGTTTAGCAATCCTGAGGGACAACAGACATCGCTAACAACACAGTAAAAAGTCTGACGTGTTGTAAAAACTGCTATTTTTAGCACATTTTAAGTCCGACGTGTTGTTACCAGACGCACAGTGTGAGCTGACACTGAGTACTACAAATGAAAAAGTCGCACAGTGTCCGCAGAATATATAGCGGACCTCAGAGTCCGCTTGCAGAAGTGACATTTACATGTGGATGTTTCCTGGTCAGGCTGCAGGACTGGTTTTCCGCCTTGGTCCCACACCTTTGATATTTTCTTTTTTCACACTCCACCGGGGTCCACGTTGTCCACCGTGGCTTAAGAGAAAGTTAAGTTAAGTTGCATTCGCTACTCGCGTGTGCATTCAGTGCAGTGTGTCACTTATTTTGGTCCGGGTGAAACATGACCACGGACGATTGCAAAGCCATGAATTAATTAAACATGAATTAAACGAAGCCTCGAGGCAGAGAATTTAACTTAAGGATTTTTTGTACTGGAATTGTTCGAGGTACTCGAGGAATCGTTTCAGCCCTAGTATAATGCTCCCAAACTTTAGAGCTACATTGCCGACTCACCAAGTTTTCTTTCTCCGCTGACGAAGGAAGATCTGGATGGCCACTACTACACGTGCCCCGGAGCTAAAGCGGCAGCTGAGCAGAGGCAGGGAGCAACGGTAGAACGTGCCGCAGCAGATGAGATCAAAAAATTGTTCATAAAATAAATGATGCATTGACTGTTATAGAGCAAGTAACGCCTAAATTAACTTTTTTTTTTTTTTTTTTTTTTTGCTGATAACCTGTATAGATGAGTGTCTAATGGTGCTGTACAAGTGTAACCATTAGTGGCTGTTTAGTGCAATTACCTTTAAATTTAACATTTCAGCCCAAAACCATAATTCTACCTCCATCTTTAGGTTAAAACCTCTGCTCCACATTTATTTAGAATCAGCTGTGGCTGATGGCTAAGCTGAAAAATGTGACGTTGACAGTAAATTACGACTTGGCTGCACTGCACTGGTCTCCAGGTGAGGCAGCCGCACCTCCGCCTGGCTCAGCCACTCACCTGCCGATTTGAAACACAATGAAATACGTTTCCATCCATTCCTCGGCCCTCACTTTCAATTAATAGTCGACTATTTTGTTTGTCAGTGTGATGAGTGGACTAATCGTGGCAGCCCTACTTACTTCATATTTAAATATTCTGCCTGAAACAGTCAGTGGTGCCCTCTTTAGGTGAAAACTGTACACTACATTTGAATTTGAATCAACCATCGCTGTTGGTTAAGCTATACCTTATATTATGTTATTAAAACATAATATATTAACATTGCCACTGTGGTATAAAAGGATCCAAGTTTCAGACTAGGCCACTCCTCTGTAGTGAGTTGGAATTTAAATAGCAAGCTGGTGTATATAGCGTGGCAAATTTGCCAATTTGAGCTACCTCAAATAATATACTTCTGCTCTGTTGAAGTCTGATTAATGTAAATTCTCAGATTTCATTTGCATGCAAAGGATTTTGTAAATAGCCAAATTACAAAACTGTTTTGTGAATGTCCAATTATAATGCACATTTAAAAACATAGCTCAAATTTTATAAATATAGAATTAAGTGACTTTTGTTCTTGTTTAATTGTATTAGGGCAGCAGTAGCTCAGCAGGTTGAGTGGGTTGTCCAGTAATAGGAAGGTTTCCGATCCCGGCTTCGGACAGTGAATTCTGCTGTTGTGTCCTTGGGCAAGACACTTGCCTGTTGCCTTGCCTGCTGGTGGTGGTCGGAGGGACCGGTGGCGCCAGTGCTCGGCAGCCTCACCTCTGTCAGGGCGCCCCAGGGCAGCTGTGGCTATATTGTAACTCACCATCAGTGTGTGAATGTGTGTGTGAATGGATGAATGATACACTGTAGTGTAAAACGCTTTGGAGTCCTTACTCTGGAGGCGCTACACAAGTGCGGGTCATTTATCATTTATTAAAAGATGTGATTTCTTCAGCACAGGCTTTTAAGTTCTTAAAGAACAAGTCATCCCAAATCAACTTTTTTGCTAAAAAATATTTAAATGTGCCTAAATGTACTGTACACATGTGTAGTCAAAAAATTAGGCACTTTAGTGCATCTTAGTTAAAATGTACAGTGGAGCAAAAAAGTATTTAGTCAGCCACCGATTGTGCAAGTTCTCCCACTTAAAATGATGACAGAGGTCAGTAAATTACATCGTAGGTACACTTCAACTGTGAGAGACAGAATGTGAAAAAAAAATCCATGAATTCACATGGCAGGATTTTTAAAGAATTTATTTGTAAATCAGGGTGGAAAATAAGTATTTGGTCACTAACAAAAATTCAACTCAATACTTTGTAACATAACCTTTGTTGGCAATAACAGAGGTCAAACGATTGCTATAGGTCTTTACCAGGTTTGCACACACAGTAGCTGGTATTTTGGCCCATTCCTCCATGCAGATCTTCTCGAGAGCAGTGATGTTTTGGGGCTGTCGCCGAGCAACACAGACTTTCAACTCCCTCCACAGATTTTCTATGGGGTTAAGGTCTGGAGACTGGCTAGGCCACTCCAGGACTTTCAAATGCTTCTTACGGAGCCACTCCTTTGATGCCCGGGCGGTGTGTTTGGGATCATTGTCGTGTTGGAAGACCCAGCCACGTTTCATCTTCAAAGCTCTCACTGATGGAAGGAGGTTTTGGCTCAGAATCTCACGATACATGGCCCCATTCATTCTGTCCTTAACACGGATCAGTCGTCCTGTCCCCTTAGCAGAAAAACAGCCCCAAAGCATGATGTTCCCACCCCCATGCTTCACAGTAGGTATGGTGTTCCTGGGATGCCACTCAGTATTCTCTTCCTTCAAACACGACGAGTTGACTTTATACCAAAAAGTTCTACTTTGGTTTCATCTGACCACATGACATTCTCCCAATCCTCTGCTGTATCATCCATGTGCTCTCTGGCAAACTTCAGGCGGGCCTGGACATGCACTGGCTTCAGCAGCGGAACACGTCTGGCACTGCAGG